CGAGAGAGAGAGAGAGAGAGAGAGAGAGAGAGAGAGAGAGAGAGATACTGCTGATACTTAAACAGCCGAATATGCAACACATGCACCTCGATAAGAGTGAAAAGCATAAACTCAAAAGCATCCGGAATCCAAAACACACGGAAATATTAATGTCGTACATACAACAAAATCTACAACAAAGTTCCTCACCTCTTCGTTCTTTGCCACAGTGTTTCGTGTTTCTCCAACTCTTCCCCTTCAGGGCTTGCGATCTCCTCGATTTTTATGGGCAACAGAATCGAACTTCCAAACTCCGTGGATGCCCAAAGAAGACTCGAACTCAGACGCACGGATTCAGACCTGTCCTTCACATGCAGACGTCCGAGCTGCGGTGACATTTGACTTTTGTAGGTCGTCACACTCAGACCGGAAGCACGACTAGCGTCCGAACCGGCACGGTCTCTGAACGCTTGCAGGAAACGATGAGCGATGACGTTGCCGTTGCCTAGCGACGTAGGGACGCTGCCTTCAGGCGTTGCTGTGTCCACTACCTGCACATCCACTAGAGACGGTGTCGGGGTGGCCTTTGTGTCTGGAGTTGTTCCGGAAATGAGAAAAGGGGCGTGGAGTTTGTTCGGTTTGGTGGAGGCGACTGGAACTGAAACTGTGCTAGGGCTCAGGCTTGCTTTTCGCCCGTCTGCTATATCAAGGAAACCGTTCATCCCCATCTTTTTAGGATTTATCTCATTTGAGACAAAATCATCCGCACTATCAAACTTTCTAACATCAGTCGGTGTCAATGTCAGACCATTTTTCTTGACAATTTCCGTCGCTGGCGTCTTCTTCTTACTATCATCATCATCATCATCATCATCATCATCATCATCATCATCATCATCATCATCATCATCATCATCATCCCCATCATCGGTATACTTATTTTTACGAGATTCTCTGGAGCGGCAGACTTGAGACCAGTCCACCATACTTTTTCTTTCCATGGGGGTCGGGGAGAAGAAAGCAGAGCACAAGAGGATGTGCAGTATAATCGCACCATTGATGACGACGGTGAAGCGCCAGCCTTGCTCGTCGATGAGGTATCGCACCAGGTAAGGTATGGTCATCTGTCCTAGTCCGGGGGCACACAGCAGGATTCCGTTGGCCAGCATGCGGTGTTTCTCAAAGTGGAAGCTGACCACGACAACCAGGGCCGAGTAGGAGACTCCAAATCCCACGCCTGGTCGGAGGATGGAGGTGAGCGGTAGAGAGAAGGGGGGAAGGGGGAGGAGAGAGGGAGGACGAAGTGGGAGGAGTGAGGTACGGGGAAGGGGGAGGAGGGATGGGAAAGGGGGAGGGGGAAGGGGAAGGAGGGAGGGGAAAGGAGGAAGAAGGAAGGGGGAGGGGGGGGGAGACGGGAAGGGGGAAGGGAAATGGTGGTGGAGGTCGTGTTTTGTAGAGGGTTTGGGAAGTGTGGGGACAGACATTTAACGGACATACAAGGGGTCATTCCCCTTTGTTGGAGACGCCTACAAGAAACAAGATAATGATTAACAGGAGAGGAGATGCCTTACACGTTTTGACGCGGTTCTCTATTTTTAGGACTCCTCTCGCGTAGGAAAATCATTTCAATGTTATCTACCCACGGTCTCCGCTTCACCACTAATGTTGCCTTTCTTGATCTACGTCTGCACTCTTTTGTCTTTCATTTTTCCCAAGGGAGAGCAACTTGCTCATGGCCTTAATGTCGATTCAAATCTCTTTGGAACTGCAAAGATTTATCATAGTAATCCGCCCCATACTGACTTCTAATTCAGATCTAACTCGTTTGTTGTCTTATCTAAGTAAATTCCCTCCCATACGATCACGTTTCGCGAAGGTATTAAGATCTACTAGTATGAAATTTCAATCCAATACCAACAGAGTCTGAAGTCAGCCCCAAATACACGCACTCTACCCATCACAAGCCTTGATGTCGCTCATTTCAGTGGCGGGTGCTTTGCAAGGAAATGAGAGGCATGCTGACAAAATGAGTTACTTTTCGGATTTTAGCCTGCATGATGGAAATAGATACGTCAGATTTATAGGTTGAGTTTTTACAATTTATTAGTATGAAAAGATGAAAGACATGTTAAGCTTGAAGGGAATGGCATTGGTTTAAAATCTTTAAATATGACATTTGTGTTGATTTTCGGCCGATATCTCCATTCATGGATTGCAAGAAGTAACTCATTTTGTCAGCAGGCCTCACAGAAATTATTGTCTTTTTTGCTTGAATATTTAATTTCAAATTCAAGCCCCCCCCCCCACCCGACCCCCCACCCCAAGCCTCATTCTGAAGATTTCGAGTAAGGTCATTTTTTGGTATCCCCTCTTCTTCTGTTTCTAACATGACATATATTATTCCAATCCCAAAGAAAACCCATGGCCATATTATGGCCGTCTTAGAATGTTCTACTGCGTACTTTTCTATGGAATTGTGTAGACTTCCTCTCTCACTCGATTTCCAAAAAGGGCCTCTAGAAATACTTTATATTTTTTTTTCTTACAGGACTATTTTTTCCATCTTTTTTCTGCACAGAAAATCCCCCCCCCC